GGGCTTAATTTATTTTTTAAAGTTTATTTCATTTCTTTGTTACTCACAGATTTCTATGTTTCATGTATTGAGGCTTTTATACTATCTATTCTCAAAAACCTAATAATACAAAAATTCATTTTCACTAAATCATATAATTTTATTTCTTCATTTTAAATCAGAATTCACATAATTATCATTTTCATAAAAATAAAAATTAAAAACAAAATATATATTGATTGATGTTCTTTAAATATTCTTCGAAGTATTATTGAACAACTGCGACACGCTCACCCTTCATAAGCTCAGAGTCCATCTACCCTATGAAGTTGAAAGTTACCGATCTTCAGATTCATCATTATCGTAATTTCGGTATAGGTCCTTTTTTATTTATTTATTGGCCCTTTGAATTATCGATTTTTTTCCTGTTTTATCGTTGATGGTACTTTATTGACATGTGAAATATTAAATAAATGTATTTATATGGAAATTATACTTTATGGGATAGACTTATTAATGTCACCTATGAGGTGATTTACAATTATATCCACCAAAATAAAATAACTCATCATATATAATATATTATATTGGATTTTATTGGTGTTTTGAATATAATTTATTTTAAAAGGATTTCGCAATAAATGTACTCGTATAATTTTGATTAAGAAATTCGTGTAAATTTATGATTGTGTTATTTAAAAAAAAAAAAAATCAACCATGAAAATATACATTTTAACAAAGTATACATAATATGATATTTATAATTCCTCACTTTGATTAAGAAATTTGTGTAAATATATGATTGTTTTATTTAGAAAAAAATTTACCATGCAAATATACAATTTAACAAAGTATACATAATATGATATTTATTATTCCTCACTATGATTAAAAAATTCATGTGAATCTATGATTGTTTTATTCAGAAAAAAAAATCAACCATGAAAATATACATAATAAATAACAAAGTAATACAAATTAGGAAAAAAAAATTGAGTTCAAGTAATAAAAATAAGCAAATTTTAATCACAGCAATTATCAACACTGATAAAACACTGTCATGTGCTTATACATATTTCGTTTTCTCTTTTAATTTACAATTATAAAAAAAAGAAGTATAGACCACAAAATAAATTATAAAGTCATGAAGAGGGGTAAAAAAATATAAATTTATTATTATACATAATATAAAAATAAACATGGAAACTAACAACAAAATAATATTTCCATTTGTTTTTCTTTTAAAAAAACTGGCTCCCTATCTTTTTAATTAACATGTGTTGTAATTTTTAATTATTATATATTCACATTGTTGATCTCAACAAATGATTTTTCGGGATATTCAAGAAAATTTATTAACGACAGGCTTGTTTCCTTAGTTCAATAAATTAGACATTTCTCTTTCTTGAAGTTTATTTTCAGATGCTATCCGCAATTATTTTCCTTTCAGCATTATCTTTAGCCAATTAGCTATCAATAATAAAAAAAATTCCAATAATTATTACGAGGTCCTATTTTTATAATCCAATTCCACCGCATAATAGTTTCTACAAATTTTTCTACTACCCATAAGTCCAAACTAATTGTCATTAAAAATAGCATCCCATTAAATTACCAACAAATTGTTTTACATACATATTTTCATTTTCAATAACGCCATTAGGCCAATAATTATAAAAACTTTCACTAAATTTTTTGTCCCTTGAAAAATAATTTTTTTATTTGGACCATTTTTGCCGCATGTTTGGCTTTTATCACAATATTAATCAATTCATATATATCACGATATATACAAATGATCACTTCTTTTATTTCTTTTGAATCTTTAGGGATCACCACTGATCTCTCCACACATTTCGGAATATCGCACAGATATCCGACACCACAGTGTCTTTCTTCAAATTACTATAGACCTTGGGCACTACCTCAGTACATTTCTTCATCAGAATTTTATATATAATAAATAGCACATATATTATTACAAATAATATCATAAATAAATAATCAATTATATACCAAAACTTTATGGCCAAAAATCCTTATAAATGAAAATTTTATCAAAAATATTATGTTCATTTTCAAAATTAACATAAAAACCTTCTCTCACAACCTTCTAAATTACCACATTGATATATATTTTATGAATCCAACTCGCCCTTAAAATTTAAATTTTTTTATTTTATTAGTTCATTATTATGATACTAAAATTTACTTGCCTACAACCTCATTTGAAATCAGGTTAAAATTCAATCAAAATATTCTATGAATCCAACTCGCCTTTAAAATTTAAATTTCTTTATTTTATTTTCAGTTCATTTTTATGATGCTAAATTTACTTGCTTACAACCTTCTTTAAAATGAGGTTAAAATTCATATTACAATAATAATAATTGTATTTTTAATTAATTTAATCATAAATGTATATCCCAATATTCTTAATTTTTTTTATGTTACCTCAATAACCGTTGAAAAAAATATTAGCATTTCCAAATTTCAACCAAAATTATTCCTTTTAAAAAAATGTCCATTTTTCCCTTTTAAATAGGGTTAAAAAATTGTTTATCAATTTTATCATTACTTTAAAAATATTAATAATTCCTATATAATCATCCCTACAAAAATCCTTATTCTAAAAATAAAATACTGGCTTCAACCAGTACATGCGTTATAATTTTCCATTAATTTTAATTTTAAAAATTTAATTAATATATATGTGAAAATATTTATTTACCTTTTATTTAGGTAAATCCGTATTTACCAGAATACGACATCTCAGGTCACGCGCAACACTTTCGCAAACATAAATAAACACACAATTCAATTTCACTAAATCATATAATTTTATTTCTTCATTTTAAATCAGAATTCACATAATTATCATTTTCATAAAAATAAAAATTAAAAACAAAATTTATATTGATTGACGTTCCTTAAAAAAATATTCATCGCAGTATTTTATTGAACAACTGCGACATCTATAAATTTTCATTATTCTCGGTTATCTTAGCTTATTAATTTCCACAATAATAATGAGTTTTTACATAAATAATCAAGAATTATACTTAATTCTATTTGCTCTACTAATTCACGTTCAATTGCCATTATAAAAAAACTTCTACCAAGATATTGGGCTAATATTTACTAATAGTATTAATTAATTTTATCTTACTGAAAGTTTGTTCACAACTCCAACTCACTTTAAAAAATAATGAAAAAAAATATTTATATAGATTATATAATCCGATATATACAGATATGCGTATTATACAGAAGTATTATTTCTTGGTTAAACGATTCTCTTTCACCACCTTCTTTCACTCTGCTTCTGATATATCATCAATATATGAATACTCAGGCCTTCTATATTTTTCTTCATTCCAACATTTAAATTACTGTAAATTCTAGAAAATAAAATTACTTAATTCCTTAGTAGTTTATCACTATAAACCCGAGATCCATAGTGAACTGAACCTTTATACAGGAATAAACCCTTATAATTTTCTGAATCGTAGCCGAACCTTTATACCAAATCGCTAAAAGGAGTAACTAATCCTATATAATTTTTCTGAACTATGATAAAATCGTAGGTTTTTATTATTTTTATAACGCCATTTGTTTTTAAATTTCGCAAGTTTTTTTTATATTTTTATAACGGTATTTTTTTTAAATTTTTTTTAAATTTTGTTAGATTTTTTTTATATTTTAATTTTGATTTTTTGTTTATTATATTGAAATTTAGAGTAATTAAAACTAAAATTATATTTAAATAAAGTAAATTCATGTTAGAATTAGAATTAAAATTTTTTTACCAAATAAAGTTTATTTAAAATTTTTAAAAAAAAAAAAAAATTGAATAAACTATATTTGCGTTATATTTTTATCTTAAGTTTAAATTTATGATATTTAAATATACTTACTCTATTCGTATTACGTTTAGCTTTTTATCTAAGTTTTATTATTGTATATACGCCTTATAATTTGATTTGTTTTTTTGATCAATTTTTAGCTGCATAAATTTTTTACATATACAAAAGCAGATAAAATTTAAAATAAAAAGTGTTTCAATTCTAATTCTGTGTAGTTTAATTTCATATAACAAACAATTTCTAGTTTAATTAGCAACATAACATAAAACTTTAAACCACAACTTCCATATAGTTATATATTTTACTTATCTATACTGCTAATTGTAAAATTTACAAATAACAGCTAGCCCGACCCTGATTTTTTTTTAAAATAAATTTTTTGACCTAGCCCGGATTTTTTTAAAACATGTTACATTTACTTACAATTTTTATAGCTAATTATTCGATTTTGTAATATATAACGGGTATTTTTTTTTTAAATTTTAGGCACTCTATTTGATAAATATTAATATTATATTTTGTGATAAATTTAATTTAATTTTGCATGCTTTTCTAAATTCTTATTTAAAATAAATTTGATTTAAATATTTCAAAACCCTAAAAAATCTTTATTGTTTCTCTAAAGTAGTAATCGAACCGGAGCCTTTTAAAATTTAAGCAGCTGAGTCATAATGAAAAAAGATTTTCGGGCGGTAAGAATAATTTCTACATAAAAAAATTAGGCAGGGCCTCTCAAATCTCTGATTTCTAGTAAAATTTCAACAAGCCATCACGGGTATTAAAATTTAAAATCTTTTTTTGAATTTCAAGCTAATATTTTCAGGAATACTATTTCGGCCAATTTTTTTTTTAATTATAACGTGTCGGGTTGAGAAACTTTTGTAAAACCTTTTTAAATTTTAATAATCCATTTTTTCCCTTTTGAAAATATCTTTAGAGAATTTAATTTTTAAATCGAATCGAATATTCTTGGAATGGAATTGAATAATGGTTTTATTATTCGGACAAATACAAATAAGGAAAAATTTGATCGAATATTCAAATCAAATACAAAAAATTTACATTTTCGATTCGTTATTTTGTATGTTATAAAAGTCAATATATTATGAATTCATATTTTTTTATACTTATTAATTTTTTATTATATTATAATAGAATACGGAATTCAAGATGAAATTGAACCTGAATGTACACTTAAGTTGGAATATATAGTTGCCATGAATATATTTAATCATATTGACAATTTTGTCACACTATTTATTCCTTTCGCGATTTTAATAACATTTAATATTATGATATGCAGGAAAATAGTATTTTTTTTAAAAAGTCATTCATATTTATACAAAGAAAATGAAATTTCTAGTGATTCATACAGTAACGTTAATAATCGCAACAATTTACAAAAAATCCCAACGAAATGTTCAAAATCAATAAACCTTTTGTACAAATTTAAACAAAGGTATGATGGGTGCAAGAAAAAAAAATATACAAAGAATTTGCCGAATAATTTAGAAATCCATCAATTAATGTGTGACAATGTTGAAAGAAACGAAGAGATCTTAAATAATAAAATTAATATTAAAGGAATTAAATTTAAACTGCAACCACATTCGTCTATCATTCACACAAAAGAATCGTTGTGCAAATTTGTCTATGACTCTAAGAATTTCCCTCATTCATTTAAATATCGATTTCATAATCCACAAGCCAACTATAGAGTGCAATCAAAGGTAATTTGCTATAATTCCAAACGAAAAGGTATCCTAACAAAAACAGTAAAAAAAGGTTTCCCTAATATATTTACAAGGAGTCAAATGAGTATCACTAAATTGGTTTTGATAATATCAAGTGTTTTCTTATTGCTGAACTTCCCTTCTTACATCTTGAGGATCAGAGTGTATATCATGAATTTGGCTTATGAGGATTATAAATATACAAAGAAATTCACTATACTAGAGAAATTCTTTTTGTTGCTCTATTATACCAATTTTTCAATCAACTTTTTGTTGTACAGTGCTTGTGGTACCAAATTTAGGAAAGTCCTTGTATGTTTATTTAAAAACAATAAATAAGCGTATAAGCTTTAAAATCTTTTATTATTTTTCGCTGCAATATTGAATTTAAAGGGCTGTATATATATTTTTTTAAATTTGCAATATATTTATTAAATACTATTCAAAATTTGTCAATATATTTGTTATAAAATAATATAATAAAATGTTTGACAGAACTTTGAATATAAAAATTAGACAATTTGCTCTGAAATATTTTATAAATAACACTTTATTCTTTCTATAACTAAAGACAAGCGAGGAAAAGGCATGTCTAAAATAGAATATTAAACGTCGGTCTTGAGAGAATTAGTAGGGATTTAGCTCAATTTAAATATAAGGATTAACAAGTTTTATTATTATATAAAATTAACTAAATTGAATATAATATAAAATTAACTGATACAAATGTTATTTTCTCATGAGCTTTATATATAAAAAAATTTTTTATAAAAATGTAAATCAATTACGATTATAAAACACAGCTGCAAACTAATATTAACAATTTAAAAGTAATATAAATTGAGTAATTATAAAAATAAAAGTTAATATTTACAAATATGTAACACGCATCACTTCCCAAAAAAATAAAATTTAGTATCGGGGAAAAAATGGTAATAGGAATTAATTTTGAAAGACAATCATAAAAATTGGGGAAAGTAGGTGATAAAATATAATAACAAGAATTAATCATTTGTATTACGTGGTATGTATGATATGACACAGATATTATAAAAAATTGAGAAGAATATATTTGGGAGATATAGTTAAATAACAATAATTAGTACACAAACAAATCAATAAATTGTCAGGGGAGTGGGGAGTGGTCAAATTAGCAATGCAATATTTTTTTTTCTTAATTATACTCTTGACTTATAGACATATATAAAAAGGGTATAATTTACACTATAACTGTGCTAGTAGTTATCCATAATAGTTCTTTTTCTTAATTATATCCTTGACTTAGACATATATAAGAAGGGTATAATTTACACTATAATTGTGCTAGTAGCTATCCATAATAGTTCTTTTTCGTAATTATATATCAATTACACTATATATGGTTAATGAAGCTAAAAATAGAATCTTTTTTTCGTAGTTATACCCTTGACTTAGACATATATAAGAAAGGTATAACTTACACTATATTAATTGAAATAATATAATAATAATAACCAATACTGGTTTTAATTTAATTATTACAACACCACAATCCAGTAATGTATTACTTTAAATGCTAATCATTGTTATTAAAAATTTAATTTAAATGTTAAACAAAAAAAATTAAATATCAAAGCCTTTAAAAACTGTTTTGATTGTAAAACAAAAATGTGCTTACAAAATTTTTCACAATTATGAGAAAACAAAAATGTGCTTACAAAATTTTTCGCAATTATAGGAATATAAAATTTTTTAATATCTAGAAAAATGAATCATTCTTTTCACAACCTTCTCTTCATCTTCAGACTCATACCAAACGCAAAGGTTGTATCCAGTCTCTTGAAAACGTCTCTTAATCTTCAGACCCATACCAGGCGCGCATAGGTTGTTTACAGTCTCCGCACCAACTTCCAATAAGCTGGTGCCCCTATCCACCACCATAAAGACAACGGGGAAAAGTCTTGCCTAAAATAGAATATTAGACGTCGGTCTTGAGAGAATTAATAGAGATTTATCTTAATTTAAATATAAGGATTTAATTTATCAAGCAAAAAACAGTTTGATTATTATATAAAATTAACTAAATTGAATATAATGTAAAATTAACTGATACAAATGTAATTTTCTCATGAGCTTTATATATATTTTTATAAAATGTAAATCAATTAAGATTATAAAACATAGCTGCAAACTCATATTATCAATTTAATAGTAATATAAATTGAGTAATAATAAAAATAAAAGTTAATATTTACAAATATGTAACAGTAACAAATTAAGGCTAAATCTTATAATTATCACTTTCTTTTACTAGCAAAAACTAGACTTATTTTTTTATTATATCTTTTAACATTACACATACTTTTATCAATTTGTAACTTGAAAAAAGCTTAATTAGCTTAGAAAATAGCTTATGTTTAACGTTCAAAATTTTGCACTTTATGAAATGTGTAAACGCAACGATAATAACCACCATCAACAGATTATTATTGTATCCTCTTAATATTTATTTCTGTTTCTAGAATTCATATTCATTCCAAAGTAACCACAAAATACAATAACAAATAAATTAATCACTATAGAAATCTCTATGAAAAAACACAAATTTTACTGATAATATTTTCTTATTTATTTACTTCTTGTCAATATTAGAAATGATTAATATATCGCCATTATATTTATTTCTACCTTCCAACCATTCTTTTACTCTCACCAAGATACCGCCATCTCACTATAATTAAACTCGTCCTGTCAATAGTGTAAATTACTGCCAAACAGTGGACGACAATTAATGCATTGGATACGTTTTCTAAGGTTTGATGGAGTTCCCACTCAATGGTAGAATTGTGTCCCCAGTAGTAAAGGCTAGCGACGCCCCTGCAATATCTTATTATGTTATAAAAAGGATTAAAAATTAAATAATCCAGACTTCTAAGGCCTGTGTCACCCACTTAGAGCAATTATTAACATTGCAGTCATAAAATATTTTCATTTGATGCTCATATCGAACTTTTTGTTATAAATATGTAAAAATTAGAAATAACTAGAGAATTCAATCTAGAAATAAATAATTTTATTCAGTCATTCAATGTCACTGAAATATAGTGTAAATTACATTATAAATATAATATGCAATATATTTTTTTAATTATTATTTCAATTATATATAATTTTCCATATGATAATAAAATTGGCAGAAAAGTATATTTAATCTTAGTTATTTAGTCGAAAAGTAATATACTTATAAGGCAGCTAGAATACTTTTAAGAAAAAAGCCGAATAAAAATACAGCTTGAAAAATTTTAAATTAAAAAAAGTTTGATATCATACTTTTAGCCTCATTTTCTCTCATTTTGCGCCGTTCAATAAAAACAATAAAATTATGATTGACTTATATAAGTTCATTTTATGAGGAAAAAATTTCCCTTTAAAAAAAATCATTACAGCTCAGCCTAAAGGAAAAAAAAATAAATTGATGATAGAATAAAATCAATAAAAGAAATGGTAGAAATTTTCTTAAATATTAAATATATCTATCGATATAATATTTATAAAAAATAACAAACCAAAAATACTTAAATTAACGAATAGCGGTCAGGGGAAAAAAGGTTGCTCTTTAAAAAATAAATAAGATAAGAATATTAACATTTTATTATTTAAAAATATAATCATTTGCTCCAAAGGTGGAGAGGATGATAAATTGAATATGCCCATAATTTGAAACCAAGAATAATAACTCGTTTCGATATGCCAACGAGTTAATAATTGAATTACATTAATAAAATAGACAATAAAACTTCCAATATTTTCTAGGCATAGTTAAAAAGTGATTTAGTCATACGGCATCTAAATAAATATTTATATGCCATCATCTTCAGGCTGATCCGCATTTGTAATATTTTGTATATAAGTATCATGAAACTTGATTTTTCAAAAATAAATAGAATAAATCGAATCAGATGCTACTAGACAATCATTTTTTGTATAAAATTATTTCATTAAAAAAGGGAGATTGCATCACGCATATGCACGGCTTCATATAAAAATTTACAGCGTAACTATTGCAATATAGCGCTAACAGCCAGTGGCGTATCCAGAATTTTCGTATGGGGGGGGGGGGGGATTTTTTTGTGGACTTCGCCCCCAAACCCTTTTTACCTTATGTTTTAGCTATTCTATTAAATTATTCATAATTTAATAATTATTATATTTCTATTTTTAACTATTATATTTATATTTTTAACTATTATATTTCTAATTTAACTATTATATTTCTATTTTTAACTATTATATTTCTATTTTTAATTATTATATTTCTATTTTTAACTATTATATTTCTATTTTTAACTATTATATTTCTATTTTTAACTATTATATTTCTAATTTAACTATTATATTCCTATTTTTAATATATTTCTAATTTAACTATTATATTTCTATTTTTAACTATTATATTTCTAATTTAACTATTATATTTTCTATTTTTAACTATTATTTACTAATTCGTGCCTTTGGATATTACAAGCCTATTTTTTATTATTTTAAGTTAGGTATATATATTATATTTAATAAAGTTTTTTTAAATGTAAAGTTGAAATGAAATAAATGTCATTTTATTAATAAAATTTGCTATAAAAACTAGCCTCACCTTAAATTCTCATACAATATAAGTAGAATATAATTTTTTTATTGAAAATACTAATAGTAGTGTGTATAAAATATTGACTAGAAAATATTAACAAGTTTTTTTTAACTTCTCATCAAATACAATAACAAATTTTTTTATTAAATACTATAATTATAATTTTCCTGGGAATGTTGCCAATTCATCAAGAATTTCGTTTGTCGTTGGACTGTGGATATTTAACAGAGCTAACCCATTTAGCCGAGATTCGGAAGTATTCGTAAATATGTTTTCAACCTTCTCAAGTTGGAAAAAGTCCTTTCATTCTTACATGTTGTAATAGGCAAACATGCAAGAATATAAAACAACTTCAAAATATTAGGAAATTGAGCCAAGGTTTTTTTACACCGATTGAGCGCATAAATAGCATGCTAAGGTAAAATAGCTAAACGTAGTAAATATTTATAACACAATTCGAATTCACTGATTAAATTTATTTCAGTAACAATATCATAGGAATAAAATTTTGCTAAATATTTAATTTAACCAATAGTGGCATTAGAAAACGAAGAAGGATATTTAGGTAATAAAATTTAAAGATTGCTAAAGACTTGTTTTTTTTATCTAAAAACCTTACTTTTATTTGCGATAAAAAAGTATCTAAGAATGGGATGAAAATGAATATTTTATAATATTCTTCAGTTGAGCCAATATTTATTTTACATCTCAATAATTGCCTAGGTGCTAGACGAGGTTTAATTAGTTTTATATCGTAAAATTTAGCCTTCGATTCAACGTATAAAAAAATATTATGAAAATATTCATCTACATTCATTCTTATTGTATTTACCTGTTCATATATATTTTCCGCCAAATCAATAACCTGAACTAAATCTAAATTTGGTTTTTGTAAATTTCTACAAAGTAGTGAGCTATAGGAAAATAATTTATTGATGAAATTAACACCAATGATAAACTCTGATTGATCAATTGAATTCAATAATGATATCGCTTCTGACGACACATCACTTTTTTTTCATGCTCTGCCTTATTTAACTTTTGTATTTCTATTTCTTCTATTCTACGAAATGGAAGTAAAAATGAAAATTATTTAAAAAAATATAGATATTTATTAATAGTTAAAATATTATAAAAATACTTATTAATTTTAACTAGTGTTGTTAAATGGCTAAGCCGCGACTCGAGTTTTTGGTCGTAAAAACGGCTGTCTCGAGCGGCTCAATGAGCAGTTTGAGCCGACTTACAGATACAATTTTTTCATACTTATATATATAGAGTTCGCTGTTCTCGAATAGAAACTCTTATTCTTTGAGCAAATTCTCTTTTAAAATGAGTATTTATCTTAAAATTTTTTTTTAAGATTAAACTTATTTATTCATTAAAAGTTAGCGGATATTTATAAAAGTTCTAAATAAATTTATTTGCTTAAAATAATTATGTGTTTCAATGGTATTGTTTTTAATAAATAATTGGCCTCATGGCTAAGCAAGGATTTATATATTCCTTTACATAATAATTTTGAATTTAATAAAATAATTATATATAATAGTAATAAATTACCGTTTAATTTCAATCTCTTTGACTAAAAATTTTTCTATTTTATTAATATTTTTGAATAATGTTAATGTACTCACAAGGAAAGGAAATTAAAAATTTATTTATAAAAATAGGTTTTATGTTGGAAAATTGATATTCAAATATTTGTAAAATTTTAATTGGGGGTAGGAGTGGGGGGGGGGGGGGGGGGTAAAAATTTTATTAGCTTAAAATGATATTTATGAAAACAGTCAAATTTGCGATGGGAGGGAAAATTCCCCCCCCCCATTGGTTACGCGCCTTCTAGCAGCATTATGTTCTTTCATTTTACGAACATCAAAAAATAATTTATAAATTTTACAAACAACTTGATCAATCATTTTTGTCAAAACATCAATATTGACGTTTATTTTCTCGTCAGGTAAAAAAATTATTGCCATTTTTAACCACAATTTAAAATTTTCAAATTCTTAAATTTCAAATTATCATGAGTGAAAAGACATATGCTCTCGTATCATGTATGTACTCAATTAATGAATTCTTTTTAATACATGGCACCGGTATTGAAATATTATTATATAAATATACTTCTTTAATTTATAGAGGACTTAATTAAAAACTTTATCAAATTTAGAGAAGATGTTCATGTATATTGTTTAAAAAATTATGAAAAGGTTAAACGCGAAAGAGTAGATTCACAGAATAACCTTAAATTTCCAAGACATAAATTTAAGGAAAATTATAATAAAAGATTATTTCATAAAAATTCCCAAGATGAAGAATTGCCAACAAACATAATTGCTCTAGATTCACAAAACGATGATTTATTATATAAAGATTTATACAATAATCATAATTTGGTATTAGCATTTAATTCAAATGAACATGTTAAAAAATGGGGTAGAGGCTTATTATTAGACATTAAACAAACAAGGTAATTAAATTGTTTAAAAATTCTATCATATATTTAGTTCACTGAGTTCAAAAGTTCTATCAATATTTTTTATTGACTATGGTAATATTGAACATATGGAAGAAAATTTAGATCAACCTATTTTTATTAAACAAGAAATTCCATATAATATAAATAAGTATCCACCATATTTAATACCATGCTCTCTTTTTGGGTTAGATGTTAAAGTAGTTTATTAATTAAATTTTTAAATAAAAATTTAAATATAAGAATGAAACCAATTATAAAAAAGTGAATGATTTATTTTACAAAATACTTTCATCAAAAAAACTAATGGAAATGAAATTAGAAATGCATCATAGCAAGGGATATTATCTAGTAACTCTTTATTCTAAAGATGATTTTGAGTATTCCATCTATATATAAACAAAATTTAATTTTATTTTAGAAAAAATTTAGAACCATTTATTCAAAAATCAATAAATGATACAATTAAATCTATATTAGACAATAAAGTAATTTATATTAAATAATTATAATAAATTAAACATTTCAGATTGAAGAATGTGACTATAATTTTATTAGATTGAAAACTATATTGCATATTAAAAAGCAAATATTTAATACTGGATATATAATTGAATATTCTATGCTAAATAAATAGTTCATATAAATTTATAATCCTCTATTAAAATAAACATAAGAATCTTCTAATATATCCTGTGCTTTATTATTGTATAGAATATTTTTATTGACATTCCTCCAATTAGCTTCCAAATACTTTTTATTAATCTAATATTTCAATATAAAATATTTATTAAAATAATGTACCTTTGAAATTTGTGGGAAAATAGCTATAGCTAAAGGCAAAGCAAATGTAAAACATATAGTAATTACACATACATTTATAGGGAATTTGAAATTACGATGTTTAACAAATAATTTTCTAATATAAATATAAGATGTATTATTATTTCTTTTAAACTTATTTGTGAGATATGTCATGATCAATGGTGGAAATATCAATATGGGTATTGGAAGTACAACCCTGGTTATTGAGGTTTCTAATAAGGCCTAAATTATTTTTTATTGATAATGTATAGATATTTTTTATCACTAAATTAATGTTATTACACCCCCCCCCCCACTCTCTCTATATTATTTTCATAGTAATCACTAGTGTTAACCCTTTTGTATCTGACTTTTTTCATTGGACAAAAAAATAGTTAAACAAGATGCAAACCACACATTTTCAACTTTTTTTTATTATTTATTGTTATCATTAGGATATTTATATGCAAAAAAAATATACAATTTATTTTGAATGATTAAGGAATAAATTGTGATTTTTATTTAAACAGATATTTTACATTTTATACAATCTAATCTGGAATAACCATTTATGCATTTCTTACATCTTTGCTTACTAGCTGACGCCAATGCCTTGTATTATTACATCTTTTGTGATTAGATGAAAACTCATTTCCTTCTTTTTAATTTTCTAAGTTGGTTTACTTTATTTTTGATCATTTCCCTTTCCAACCATCATCAATCCCTTAGCTATCTGAGAAATGCCAAGATATTTTTACTCAGGGATGTGAACCCAGCAATTTTTGCGGTTTAAGGTTAAAAAAATAGGCGGGTTCGGGTTCACTTCAGTGAAATAAGGTTAAAAAAATAGGTGGGTTTGGGTTCAGTTCAGTGAAATATTTTTGAACCCAGGTTTGGTAACGGGTTTAGCTCGAGTTTAAGAATTGATAAAAAAAATATTCTATATTTTAATCATAATTAAAAACAAGACATAGATTTGGTATAAAAATTACATTTTTTATTTTATTTATAGGCAAAATATAGTTAAAAATACAAATAATCATGTATTAATTTTATTTAATGTATTTCTTTAACCCTTCAATACTCTGGTGGGGTATATGAACCAGGCATGCTAGAAATGATATTACATAAAAACGGTTTAATATTATGATCTTGATTTTTCAGTAGCTTCATCAAATATATCTTAGAATCTATATTCCAAATTTCATATATTATGGTTTAGTAGTTTTTAAGATATAAGCATTTTGTGACTGATTGGGGTTTGTGAGACCCAACCAGAGTAAATTTGTTATTTTTTAAGATATTTATTTATAAATATATACTACTATAATATCTTATATTTTGAATGAGATATATGAAAAAAAACGTAAAGATTTTCTCTGGTGGAGTTTTTTTATTTTTCACCAGCTGACCTTTTCTCAAATTATTTTTATCATTTATAATGATTTTTGCAGAGTATGAAACTAAATATATAATTATTTAAGATGTAATATTATTTATTTGAGGTGATTATGACAATATAATTAATAGCGAGGATGAAGATTTTATATATGATAGTGATCATGATACACAATCTGAATTAGATGAAGAAATATTAGTTGAAGACAATAAACTTAATATTATTTAGGCAAATGAAATCATTTACCATAGTATATTTCTCTTTAAAATTAGCTAAAAAAAATAAGTTAACTAAGTGGATAAAGGATTTTAATAATCAAAGAATAAGAACTCATCAAAAAAATTAGTTATTCATCTACCATGAGCAAAAGAATAAGGAAAAGAAGCTGACACTCCAGAAAAATGTTTTGACTTGTTCATAACACCAATGATTGAAGATATTATTTATCATACCAATGAAAAAATTAAAATTATATGTAACAACAATACTGACCAATATGAAAGTTCTACTAAAGAAGTTGATGTAACATATTTCAAGACATAAATGGGATATCTTTATTTAGCTGAAATTTTTAAATCTAACCATCAAAATAAAAAAAAATTTTTTCAAATATGTAAAATAAATTTATGTTTAGAACACATTAAAGTTTTATGTAATAAATGTTTTGCATGTCAAATTTAACATATTTCAATGTTCTATATTTTTTTAATGTTAAAATGTATGTAATTTTTTTTTATTGAAGAATAAAGATCCTTATTATGAATTATCATGATTAAATTTGAAAATTAAAAAAAGTAAGCTTTTAGAAAATTTTGGCACAAATTATAATTATCCTCATCATCTTTAATCTAAGCTTAAAATAAAAAATAAATAAATATTTTATCAAGTTTAAGGTTAGTTCTATCTTATATCCAAATATTAAATAAAAATGAATATAACTGGATATATACATTTGAAATTAGGATCTATTAAACCCCACCCGAGTACTAACGTCATTTTTTTCACTGGAGTATTGAAGTTAAATTAACAATATCCAATATAATAATTTTTACGTTGACTTGTTCACTTTCCTCTAATTAATAATCTTTGAGAATAAATTAAAAATAAATGGCGTAAATGAATTTAATTGTTTAAAATTTATTAGCACCAATAGGAATTTTTGGGAATAAATTTAAAAATGGCTTAAATGAATTAAAGTTGTTTAAAATTTATTAATACTTCACTTAATTGGAAATTTGAAAATATTATAAAATCTCAATTAAATTATTAATATTTGTATTTACAATTATATAAATATCTTATATGATTTTAAACAATACACTGAACCAGGGTTTACGGGTTCGGTTCAGGGTTTTGAAAATTTTATAAACGGGGTTCAGATTTTCTTCACCAAAAACCCGGGTTCGGTTCGATTCCCTGTTTTTACTATTTTTCTGTTTCATAGGGTGTCAATGAGCAATCATGAATTCACTACATAGGAATCTAATAAAAGAACAAATAATGTTTCCATTATACAATCAACATATCTCGGAGATCTACCCCACCTGTACCACTGTTATAGGCTTTAACTATGGCCGGAATTTCGACATTGAGAAAAGATTTATCAGATACTGACCATCTTTTCGTACATGATTTGGAACATATATCCATAAATCATGATAAAGGTGATAACCGATTTGTTATCAAACCATTTGCAAATTATAATATTATTAGAATCCACCAATAATTAAGGGACCCTTTTCCTTTTTAAAAAAAATATTGCCATCAACCTGATGGCATCCTGATAATAGATTTGATCTTACATTCCCTACAATGATAAAGCCATTATCTTTGAGAGCAACTGCTAAATTCTAAGTAGGAAAAATTTCTCAATATTAATTTTATGATTTTTATGTGGGAGCTAAAAATCGAAAGCGATATTTCCGCTAGAAGTCTGCAATGGGCATGTTTTTAGATCGTGGATGAGTTTTCTAAAATATTTTAAACATTGGTGGAGGACGGGTTAAAAGATATTTTAAAATAATGGGCGAGCGTGGGCAGGTGAATATTTATTTTTCTGGCGAAGTGAGTAGAACAGATTTTTATTATTAAAAATTATAATTTTTTTTCATAATATTGCATATTGCATATTTTATGTTTAATAAGAATTACATTAAAATAAAGAGCCAAACCAGCCATTAGTATAATTTTTAAACATTCAAATAGACAGGTTAAACAAAACCTTTAGATAAATGAGCAGGCGAATAAGTTTTAAAAAATCATATGTTGGTGGGTTAAAAAATTTTAAAACTAGTCCGCCCATTGTAGACATCTAATCTCCATCAAAAATGTTTTTATATTTATAGATTTTTTTAAAAATATATCTCGAAATCATATAGCATTCCAGATGATCCATATAAAGCGAAAATTTTAATTCACTATTTTTGCGATTTTTAGTGAATATATTACTTTAATTTACATCGACCTTTGAAGGGGGCTAACATTTCGTCAATGGATCTCCTTCAATTGAATTTTTCTCAAGTTTTATTGCACAAAAATGGTCTTAGTTTGAAAAGTTTATCATAATTAGGCTGACACCTAAGGATTATATTATCATTAATATGAAAGCATTTTCTCAATTCTAATAATCTATTTCTTGTCAAGAATTGTAGAATCAATGTCACTAGGGCCCCATATTTTATTATTAATAGCAATTTAGCAATGCCCGTGATTTGTAGTTGATGATTTTCCAGAGGATTGAAAAGAATAAATATATGCAAGGCAAAATGTTAATGGTATCGTCTATATATTTTTTTTAATATTCGAATAGCGAAATTTCTTCCTTGGGGGAAAGAAATTCATGTTTATTATGTATTAAATTTATATAAATTATTATTTTGCTATAGGGTTTTCCTATTATTTAGGATAGTATCATAAGTTCTAACCCAATATCTGGCAAAATATCATAGGTCGTCAACCTCGGAAATATCTACCTGTTCTTATAGAATTTGAGGTTATCTAACAAATTATAAAAAAATAAAAGCTACCTAAAATAATTAAATTTCAATACTTTATATATCATTTTCAATATTTCATGGAAAAAATTGCATTAGAAAACCCCAATGTTGTCAATTAGCATTTTCCTTATAAAAACCAGATAAAAAAATATGGCCTGGCCTATGTTTTATATTTGTGGGGCCCGTGTCAGATTTTTTTAAATATATTACATTTATTTTTATACCTAATGGCATTATGACCTGGCCCAGTTATTTTTTTAAAAAAAATTAAAATACGGCCTGGTCCATATACCAGGGTTAGAGCTAGGCCTGCAGGTCTCTAATAAAAATCATATAACTGATTGATTTTTTTTTTACTAACCATGAAATAATATATTATAAAAACATATATTAATATAATTGCTATCGATTTAAAAGTGTAAATTGAACTTGTATTTTGATATAAGATAATGATTTTGACAGCTTAATGATAAAATACGAAATAATAAAAATTGTTTTGAAAATAAATGTGCTAAGTAGAAACCAGAGACCTTCATGGGCCTTAATTTTTTGGCCCAGGCCAGGCCCGCAGTAAAAAATTTTTTTTAGGCCCAAGCCCGTTCTCAAGTCTGGCCCAAGCCCATGATGTTTCAAAAAAAATTCCCAAACCTGGCCCAAGCCCATATCCAAATTTTTTTTTTATTTAATGAAAATAAACAATATTTAAATATATTTAGGCAATCATTTTGTTTACAATACTGAAATTTATTATTATTAGAAGGAAAAAAGGCAATATTTCTTTAAATTAGCAACTGTTTTAAATAATTCAAATTTTATGCCCAAGCCCATTAAAAAATATTTTTTTAAAT